ATACTTAAACTCCCAAACTCCCATTTTCTTAAACATCTATCTCCCTCAAACCCCAAATCGCCCACTTCCAAATGAGCAAACACCCAAATTCCCAAAGTCTTTCATATCTAAATCACCCAAATCCCCCAAATCTCCCTTTTCCCAAATTTCCAAATCACCCAAGCCTCCCAGCACCCTTTCCAATTACCTAAATTCCCAAAACTCTAAATTAGCAAATGTCCAAATCTCTAAATACTCAAACTCCCAAAATCCCATCATCCTAAACACCTGACTTCCCCAAACCCCAAATCTCCCATTTCCCAAATTTCCAAATCACCCAAGTCTCCCAGCACCCTTTCCAAGTACCCAAATTCCCAAAACCCTAAATTACCAAATCCCCAAATCCCCAAATACTAAAACTCCCATCTTCCTAAACACCTAACTCCCCTAAACCTCAAATCACCCACTTCCAAATTATCAAACACCCAAATTCCCAAAGTCTTTCATATCTAAATTACCCACATCCCCCAAATCTCCCTTTTCCCAAATTTCCAAATCACCCAAGTCTCCCAGCACCCTTTCCAATTACCTAAATTCCCAAAACCCTAAATTAGCAAATGTCCAAATCCCTAAATACTCAAACTCCCAAAATCCCATCTTCCCAAACACCTAACTTCCCCAAACCTCCCATTTCCCAAATTCTTCAACAGCAAAATTTCCGAATTCCTTCCCGACCGCAAAAGCCCCTAAAAAGCGTAGCAAAGCATGTAAAAAGTCGAGGTTAGTAGAAGTAGGTTCGCGTGGTTCGTGCTCCGTGGCTTTATTAACACGTCTTACTGTGTAACGGGCTCTCGTGGCCGTTAAGAGTCCAGGTATACGGGCGAGGTAACCAGCAGCTGTTGCTAACGCAATTTTCCCTCCGATATAAATCCTCCAATCCCGGGTCCCGCGATATTGAATCAAACGATATAGCGAACGGCTTTATCCGAGCGTGCTTCGCGAGCTGCCGAGCTGCACACCCACGCACGCTTCGTCCAGCTAACTAAATCCTTGATGGACGCTCGACCGGATGAAACGTTGCGGTTATATAGAAAGGATCCGGAGAAATAAGTCGGCCGCCTACCACGACTTTGTCTAATGCCGCTGGAATAAAACCGGGAGGATAGAACGTTGAAAGAACTTTTTCGCTTCCTTTCGTTTTATCCCGTTCGCGGAAAAGATGAGCCGTCCGTTAAGCTGAAAGTCGAAAGATTTTCAGACCGTGATGAAAAAGTGGCGTGTCAGAAATCTTCGATAGTCAATTAGGTCATTAGGTAAAGGTAGCGTATGTAGATCACACTATTGGATATTTTATAACTCGGATCAAGAAATGATTCATCAAACTTTATTATAAAATATCACATCAAATTTGCAATTTAATATTCCTCGTGGGAGCACAAAATTCAGTCTCTGTAAATTATACTCACGGTCCAAACCTCCTTGCTTACAATATCTATGGATCACATGTGTATCCCCTTGTCTTGCAACAACGTCTCACATGTGACACGCTTTGACTGTGACAAATTTTATTGGAATTTTTAATACGACTCAATTTGAGGTTATAGCTGAGTGACGCACTCTTGACACACTCGTGACGCACTCTTGATGCATTCATGACGCATTCGTGACACACTCGTGACGCACTCTGGACGCATTCATGACGCATTCGTGACGCACTCTTGTGCTCTCTTGACGCATTCGCGACACACTCTGGACGCATTCTTGACGCACTTGTGACGCACACTTGTGCAATCTTGACGCACTCGTGACGCATTCTTGACGCACTCTTGTGCATTCTTGACACACTCTTGACGCACTCTTGACGCACTCTTGACGCACTCTCGTGTTCTCTTGACGCATTTTTGACGCACTCATGACGCATTCGTGACGCACACTTGATGCACTTTGGACGCACTTTTGACGCACTGCGATCCAAAAGTCGATTTAACGTGGAAGGATCCGTATGTGATTTCCAGATATTAGCAATAAGTTTGTCATAATTTATTCACTTGATGTAATTTATGAGAATTCGTGGTTACATGAAAATAATTACAAATAGACGTTGTGTTCATAAACTTTCTATTTAACCAAAATAAAAAATCCTACCAATCCTAACGTAGAAATTCCAAAAAAGCTTACAGTTCGTAAGACGAAGAATTTATTATTGAATGATTTGAAATTCATTTAGAAAGGAGCGTCAATAAACGGCAGTAATTAATAGAATGGAATCAAATGTAATGACAAGGAAGCTTTATTCCGCGAACCGTCTATAGTTTCTCCAACGTGATCGAACAAAACTAAAAAAGTTCCCTATCGCTCGATTCAAAGGCCCTTAGCGAGAATCGGGTTGGTACCCGATCGATTAAAAGCGGAATAAAAATCGCAGTTCATCGAGCATCAATCCCTAAAGATTCAACGTCCATGACAAAGAATTTTCTTCTGCTACGGTTACACGATGAACGCTGGAGTAGAACAGATTGGATCGATCGGAATAAGTCGTTTCATCCGAAAACTTGGACCAATTGAAAAAAAGGAAAGGGGGTGGAAAAAAAAATTGAACCAACGGTCCTCCCTCTTTTCCGTGACTTTACCCTCCGCGAGCGGAGGAAGCAAAGGTACGCCCATTACTTGGCGAACCAACGTGCACAGACGGATCGAAGATAAAGCGAGGAAAAAAAACGGGAGTAAAGAGAGAGGAAGTAAAGGATGAAGAAGTTGAGGGAAAGGTGAAGGGACGAAGAGAAAAATCAAGAAATGAAACCTTGCTTCGGGAGATTGGGCGACGGTGAACATCGATAGATGATGCCCTCTGAACACGATTTTCTGCCGCATCGAGTTACTGATTGTCAAGATACTGTGTCAGAACTTTGGGGATGGAGTGAAATTGGATCTAGAGAAAATGTAAATTTGGATTTTGGTGATATTTTTGAATTTGATGAATTTAGACAGTTTTGAAATTTTCGACGAGCAACTCTCAAATCCCCAAATTTGAGGGTTCTGTTTCATATTCCTAAATCCCACTTCCCTCAATTCCCACATTCCCCAACTCCCACATTTTCCAATTTCCACATTCCCCAATTCCCATATTCCCCAATTCCCACATTCCCCAATTCCACCGGTTCCCAATTCCCACATTCCCCAATTCCCACATTCCCCAATTCCACGAGTTCCCAATTCCCACATTCCCCAATTTCCACATTACCCAATTCCCACATTCCCCAATTTCCACATTCTCCAACTCGCACATTCCCCAATTCCCGCATTCCCCAATTCCCACGTTCTCCAATTTCTACATTCCCTAATTTTCACATCCCCCAGTTCCCACATTCCCAAATTCCTACATTCCCCAATTCCCACATTCCCCAATTCCCACATTCCCCAACTCCCACATTCCCCAATTCCACCACTCTCCAATTTCCACATTATTCAATTTCCACATTATCCAATTTCCACATTACCCAATTCCCACATTCCCCAATTCCCACATTCTCCAATTCCCACATTCCCCAATTCCCACTTCCCCCAATTCCCACATTCCCCAATTCCCACTTCCCCCAATTTCCACATTCCCCAATTCCCACACTCCCCAAATCTCCAAATCCCACGTCTCCCAAAATCTCCAACTCTCCCAATTCCTCAACTCTCCACTTAACCTCAAACCACCAAATTCCCCAAAATCCTCGAATATCAAACCACCTCAAATTTCCCTAATACACAGATGGAAAGCAATACAGCAAGTTCAATCGAAAGGTTACAATTGAAAAGAGCCTGTCAAACTCTAAACGATAATGATACGTGTTCAATGAACGGCATCGTTAACGAAGCTCGCTAACAACCCCGATATTGTCAAACGCACGTCACCCTGTTCCCCTCGAAATATTGTTATCCCGGTCCTGTAGGAAGCGACCAGAGAACACTGGCTCTGTCCGTGTACGTACACAGGGATTATTCCGTATCGCGTGATCGTTTCATGAAAGAAGCCGGCTACGTGTCCGCTGATCGACCAACGCGACGTATAAATACGACACATCCCTGATACGTGGCTTGTTTCACAGCCGATGGATCCACAGCGACCGTAATGACACGATAAAGGTGTTACATGAGAGATGATGGGTTATGGAAAGAAAATTCTAAATGTACTTTACCATTTTCTGATAGTTGGTTGTGTACTGGTATAGGGTTTCGATGTTTTACGTACCTGTAATCAAACGAAAGAGTATGGTTATTTACAAGGTGTATACGGTTATATGTAAATTATAATTAGGTATACAGGGTGGTACCTGCAACGCTACTCACGATTCTCCCACTTGGAGCCACCTTACGAAAAAAAGTTTAGAAGAATATTTGCAGGGTAGGAAGTGCACAATAGATATTAGTAAAGCAAATTTTGAAAACAGTTTGTTCTCTCGGCAAAGTCAAGGTCACCTTGGGTTTTTTAAATAGGAACATACATTTTTTTTATTCGTAGCTTTAGAGGACATCGAGACGAATTCAAAACACATGTTACATGATATTTTTATTAACATATTACTCGATTTACAGAAGTGGAAATGTGAAGTAAAGACCGGAATATTACGTGATAGAAGGCACAATACATTTTGAACATGTAATTAAATAAAGTGTATTTTTCTTACGTTCTAGTTGCGTGTTTGTATTTAGTAATCTCTTCGGAATCAAATAATGGTTACATTACCAAAGTCAAAAACTAAGTACTTCACATTTCCTCTCATCGCATACGTAGTACACAAGATGTAAATTCTTATTGTCCCTCGAAAGAACAATTAAGTATAATTAATAGCGTTCGAACGTTTCAGTTCCGCCAATCACCGTGATATTACACGAAGATATCCCAGTAATGAAACAAAAGGAGGTTAGCGTCCGTTAGGAAATTTGGTCCGACTTCGACGTGAAACTTGAGCTTTGTACAACAATTCAGCGATCGTTGCAAGTTGCACACACGGCAAATCTCCGGACTGTTGCAGGGTTACGTTCCAGAAACTTGGTTCCATGGCTCCTTTGCAGCATCCAGGAGGCCCCGAACCCAGTTACCCTGTTTGCTGTTCCAGCGAACGATCCAAGGATATTGGCAACATCTGGTGGTACCTATCGGTTCCATGGGAATATACGGGACTGAAGGGAATTGAGAACGAACCTGATCTTGGGGATCGGCCATCCAAAGGCATTCAAGAGATAACATCTCGAATCTCGCTAAACAACAACCAAACCGGTGTATCCTACATGCGTGCACGTAATTACTGGCTTAGAGATTGTGTATAGGTATTATTATTGCTTCGTGTATCGTGTTTACTGCGGTTAATCGATTAAGTGGGAAAGGAACTTTGTATCGGACCAATCACATTTTTGTTTTACTATATTTTATCTGGTATCTGTTACTGATTGTCTGTTGTCTATTAATTTTTTATTGACATTTTATTCATTCTTATTTTGTACATATATATACGTCATGTGCACATGTGTACATACATTATAACATATGAGTTGATATATGTACACATATGTTCATACATGTATACATGTAAACACTAATGTACTTAGAGTATTCATATAACGTTCCTTTTCCATACAAATTTTACATACGTACATATGTTATAACACATGAGTTGATACATGTATATGTTCATACATGCATACATGTAAACAATAATGTCCTTAGTCTATTCGTACAACGTTCTTTTTCCATATAAATTATACATATGATTCATGAACTTATCCATATATACATAATCTATACATATGTACATATGTTATAACATATGAGTTGATTGTATATGTTCACACATGCATACATGTAAACAAAAATGTACTTGGTCTATTCGTACAACGTTCTTTTTCCATATAAATTATACATATGATTCATCAACTTATGTATATATGCATATGTTATAACATATGAGTTGATACATGTATACGTTCATACATGCATACATGTAAACAAAGATGTACTTGGTCTATTCATACAACGTTTCTTTTTTATATACATTATTCATATGATACATGGACTTATGCATATATGCATAATATACACATATGTACATACGTTATAACATATGAGTTGATATATACATATGTTCATACATGTATATGTTATGAATGAATTAGTGCATAAAAGTCGAAGAGCAATTTCCTCCGGATTATTCGATTAACGTAATAATAAAATTTGACGATGGAATAAAAATTGATTTATCAGCAGGTATCTTTTTAGCCCAGATTTTGCGGGCACATCGATTGACACGTGCAACGAGGCGATAATATCGACATCTGTAGGTAACTATCGTTCGGAAGGAACATCAAATCCTGTAGGATCTTGTCTGGAAACAGGGGTTGCGTCTCAAGAACGGAGCATTTAGAAGCTCATGTAACAAGAGCTAAGCCCTATTATAGGATCTAAGATGGAGAGAGACGGGGCGATGTAAGACAGAGTGAAAGACGGATACATTTAATTGTCCTCTGACGCTTAAGCAGATTCTTGTTATATGCAATTAGTTTCAGACAGTTCCGCGTAATAATCAGGTTCTTAATTTTAAACTAATTATTCAAGTTCGCGTTATCTCCGTTTAGTCGCGTGAAACACAGCAGTCATTAGTGTTAGCACGGAAATAGTGTTAGACGAAGGAAAAATTGCAAACGCAATCTAGCATGAAAGAAACAATTTTTATTTATTTTTGTTCAATATTTTTAATTATGGGTATATTGTAAAAATAACAGAAAATTGACATATAGTAATTTTCTTTTGCATTAATTTTTATTTTTAATGTTATCCAAAGAATATTTGTATATGTAATATTATAATGAACTGTATATGCATATGTGTGTATGTAGATAATATGTGTATACGTATGTGGATTATATTCATGTGTGTATGTTTATAGTTAATATACATGTGTGTGTATGTAGTAAATATGTATTATATGTTTGTACTTAATATACATATGTATGTGTGTTAACATGTATGTATGTATGTACATATGTGGATGATATACATGTGTGTATGTAGATAATATCTGAATGCATATGTTTGTAGTTAATATACATGTCAATATACATACGTGTATGTAGTTAATATATATGCACATATGTAGTTACTCTATGTATACATGTCTACATACTTAATATTATAACACATATACTAACACATTCAATAAATTTTATTTCATCCACACTAACAGTTTTCCGATTTGTTTCCTTCAAACTCTCTCTCTCATTTCCACCTCCTACAATTTTTTCACAGCTTGAAAAACGAGACGAAGCATTTTCACGTTGTTCGTTTATTTTGACAGAAATATTAGCGCGTCAAAAGTTGCGTGAATTCTCGAAGCTTTTACAGTAATTAACAGCGTTGCTCTTTTTTATAGCCACACTGACACGTAGCTATATATTACACGGTCAAACCGACTGTACCTCAAACAACAAAACGTCAAAGGTTCGAAGTTATTTTTGTGTCCACAAAATATCCTATTCTGACATTACTCTTATCAACAACGGCACTCGAATGTGACAGGAGTCGAATACGAAGAATTTGTTTGACAATTCTTTAGCTTTGAAAGATGATGAATATAATTTTCCTTAATTTTAACTGGTAAATATATATATATGGAGAGGCTTGAAATAAATATATTTATTTTTGGTGAAATTTCTTTTAACGACCTTCTTTAATAATGGGTTTATGAAGGACTGATGTGCAATCACTCTTAAATTAAATATTAAATACAATGATGAATGTACATAATATAATATGTATAAGGGATGAAATAAGGTAATATATGCGATTATTCTTTGTCTCGACGGAAGACAATATTCAAACAAAAGAATCTTGATAGTTTCTGTAATTTAAAATGGGGAGTCTATGGTGCGCCATTTTAGCGCGCGCTGGACGCCATTTTGATGCGTTCTGCGCACCATTCTGACGCGTTCGAGCGCTACTTTACAACCTAATGTCAAAACCCTCAATAATAATACCTGAAGTGTATTAACATATATATACTTTCGATAGAATACACAAAATATACTACTTCAACATATATATTCAATTTAATACATGAAATGAAGTAATAAAATACCTTCAATATAAATACCTCAATACATCAAATATATCCCTATACACTATCAACATAAAACATAAAATATATTACCAAAATAATACTCTCAACATAACAAACATACTTATGTAGATATAACATACCATTACATAAAATACCAAAGTATACTCCCATAATTCACATCGACATATAACGATATAAATTAGTTAACAGCTTTGATATTTTCCCCGTGCAGCATGGAATTTCAGTAGTACTACAGCAAAATTTTCCGATAGCATGAAATTACGGGAAAAAGTGCCTTTATACAACTCGGTATTACCGGCGTTTATAAAGGGGTTAGTGAAACATTCGGTGTACAGCTGCGCTACGCGTACAATGCACAAAAGGACCGGATATAGTTTTTTTCATTATGGTTTTTTGCGAGCGAGCGTATCGCGACCGGCTCGAAGGAAAAAAGTATCTTGCCTGGCATTTGCCTCTCTGTTTCTCCCTATACACGTGTGTATATCCACGCGTATGTGTACGCGTATGTGTACGTACATACGACACATGCACAGGCCTAGAATGGAATTATTTGTTGGTTATTCACGTCGAGTGGAGGACGAATGGTTCTGACGTGAAAAACGAGAGAGCTTTCCTCCTGTTCCCACGATGCGTGGCCATAGTATTTTTAACGGCGTAACGTGGCGTTTGTCGCGGTCGGACCTTTGCCTTTGCGAAATTCACCTCGAAATCTGCCCTGAAATTTTTAACCTCTCTTCTACTTTTCTTTCGTTTCAATATTGTTTTTTGGAATTTTACATTTTTATATGTAATATTCAGATTTAAATTTTTATATGTAATATTCATGTTTTGGGACGTTCTATTTAGAATGATGTGATGTCTTACTTAGAATTATGAAATAGTTGAAGTTTTATTGCAGTTTCCAGGATTTTTTAGGTTTAGTCAAATCTAAAAATTTTCACCCTCTTCTAATTTTATTAATACCAATATTATTTTCAGCAATTTTATATTGAATATACAGGGTGTTACACAACTGTAGGTCCCAACGCAGGAGGTATAGTCAGCTATACAGAGTGCCTCACAATTAGTGTAGGTCCCTGAAACGGGAGGTAGCTGACGTGATTCTGAATAAGATTTCCTTTTGCAAAAATGGGGTATGAAGCTTCGTTTTTGAATTATTAAGGAACAACACGGACCAATCAGAGCGCGAGGATTATTACGCGTTGGACTACTACGCGTCGAATATCCACGCGTTGGATTACTACGCGTTGGATATCCACATGCTGGATTATTACACGTTT